CAGCCCCTAAAATTTTATTTGGGTATAAACCCAATGGTCTGTCTGAGACTCAATGGTCTGCTTGTTTTTTCTGTTTAATAGTGGCCTTGTTTTTCTCATTTATACAAAAAAAAAAATATGCTTCCGGATGTGGAAGGAGTTAAAGAAGACAAAAAAATATTTAAATTTGGTTTCTTACTGGGCACATACCTGTAGTCCAAACCTCTTAAGAGAGTGAGGCAGGAGGATCCCTTGAACTTAGGTGTTTGAAACCAGACTGGGCTGCATAGTGAGACCCTGTCTCAAATTCATTTCTCCTCCCTTTCCCCTCTCGTAAGCTATTCCTAGAGAGAAAGCCCAGCGCGACTGGGAAATTCCTCTGTGAACAGCCCTCCTGAGTCAGTGTACCCCCAGAGACCCAGTATGATACCCCAGGCCCACTGCCTCCCTGAATTGCATGCTGAATACTTAGCTAAGGTGCAACCCCTCCTCCCATAACACCAACACCAACCAATAAACTGATGATGAATGTCACAGTGACATTTAAGAAGTCAGTAAGGAAATCAGGACAGGAACCATCTTAAAACAAACCACACAGAAAGCTTGTCACAAGTCTCAGGTTTTTATTTTCAGAACAGAATCTGGTTTTATTTTTAAAAGGGGGGGGAGCGATAAATGCTAGTGAGGTGTCACTTCTCTCATCTTTCTGGGCTCCAATTCCCTGCTAGCTCTGCTACCCCCGTACCCAGGCTGTTACCAGGACATGTTAAAAGGGAATCATCTCGGTTAGACACAGTGGTACATATCTGTTTCTTTAGGAGACTTAAAGTTAGAGGACCACTTGAGCCCAGGAATTCTGGGCCAGCCTAGGAGCATAAAGAGACCCCAACACACACTCAAAAAAGTGGGGTTCGTTCTTTTAGGAGGGCACAGTCTTTTAAATTAATAGGATTTACTGCTAGGGGTGTAGCTCAGTAGTAGAGCATTTGTCTAGCATGCTTGAGGCCCTCGGTTTGATCCTCAGCACCACAAAATAACTAATTTTTAAAAACAGACAAGGTTTTGGGACTCAGGTAAACGGCCTTCCCTCTTCCATGTTCAAATACTAGGAGCAGGCAGGTCTAGATTCTGAGCCCAGGCTTCTTTTCTGTGATCCATTCTGCTGGCATAAGCCTCAGGACAGTACACCATCCTGGTCATGACACCTTGGGAACATCTTTAGTCTGACCCCTGCACTACAGATACCCTAGAAAGCAAAAAAAAAAAAGGGGGGGGGGGGGGGGACAGGGGGGGGGCCTTAAGGGTCATTTCTTAGTGCAACTGGGCAAAAAAAAGAGAAGAAAAGACCATGTCCATAGGACACTTTCTTGATTGTTGAGTGATGTGGGAGGGCCGAGCCCACTGTGGGTGGTGCCACCCCTGGGCAGGTGGGGCTGTAAAGCAAAAAAAAAAAAGGGGGGGGAGGGGGGACAGGGAGGGAGCCTTAAGGGTCATTTCTTAGTGCAAATGGGACAGAAAAATGAGAGAAAAGACCCAAGAAAAACACCAGAAGGAAGGGCCAGGCCCCTGAGCATATATACTTGCTCTAGAAAGGTTGAAGAGGATGCTGGAGGTATGTAGGGCCCACACTAGCACCTTGCCATCCTGGCCTTTGTGACAAGTGGCCATGTGATCATGTCTCTTGATGCATCAGGGAAAGGGCAACCTCTCATCCTAAACCCAATAAGCAGTCACTCAGCAGGGGATAGCAATCACACAGCAGGGGGATAGTTATCCAGATAGTAGAAAGAGGGTGGGTTGGGGGCCAGCCAAGGCTGGCCATGGCTCAGACATGTCCTTTCACAGTCATTGAGATTAGGTAGCAGAGAAACAGCAAAGCTGGAGAGCGGTGGGAGCAGTTACAGCCCCCATCCAGGACCTAGGCCCAGGGCCTGGAGTCCAATCTGAGGAAGAGGAATCAGCCACTTCGAAGAGAGAAGGCAGGATGCATTGTGAAAGGCAGCCAGCCAGCACTGGCTGAGGATGAGAGACCAAGAGCATAGGGTACGCTGACTGTAAACATTTCCCACAAGGCCTATTCTAAGAGCAAGTCAGGCCCCTAGTGCTCTAGCCAAGCTCAGCCCCTCACACTTCTGTGTACGTAGATATCCTCAGCCCAAAAGCCAAGGCAGTTAAGAAAAGCCCCCGACCAGCCTCCGGTTCTCAGAAGATCCTAGCAGAACCAAAGGGGTTGAGGGACTGGGGACTGGCTGCTGGGTTAGTAATCAGTGACTTGGCACTTCAGGTTGTTCAGCAAAGCTGGCTCTGTGCTGGCAGCTCTAGGGAAGGCCAGCAGCAACAGGCCCTGCAGTGTTCACCCCCAGATCCTGGCAGCCCTCCCTACTGCTCTTCCAGCATGTGGCCAGACACAGGGCAGAAGCAGAGATGTCTCCTCGCCTCTATGGCAGCATTATGACCAGGGCTTCTAAGTCCTAAACTCAAAGAAAAGTAACTGAGGCCTAGAAAGTAAAAATGGCATGGCACTCAAATCTAGTTATGCCGTGTCTGGGCTCACTACACTACATGAAACCCCCAAAGCAGAAGAAAGAGGAACCAAAAATTCTTAAGGTTTTACCCCCACCCAATCCCATTGGGGTGGGGGACTGAGTACAGCGTGGCTTTGCTCTCTATGCTTTCTGAATCTTACCTCCCCTCTAGATACGTATCCTGCCTCAGAGACTCCAAGAGTGACTACCCACATCGAGACCAGAGTAGCCACCTCTGACGTCCCCTCTCATCTTAATAGGACTCTGGGGGGCAGGGGAAGAAGACTAGACAAGGGATTCTGCAGCCTGAGTTCTGCCTAGTGAGGACTTCAAGGAGAGCAGAGATGGTCACCACTACCGTCTCTGCTCTATACCAAGTTTCTTGGAGAAGATAGGGAACTGGGTGTCTGACTCTCTTGGGTCCCCAAGAGGCCCAACCTCAAGTACATATGGAACTCACTAAAGCAGTTACTCTGAATCCAGTTCTGGTCCAACCTGCACCAACACAGGAAGGATAAGCATTCTGGTGCAGAGGGAGGAACAAAAAGAGAGCAAGCCAATGGCGAATACTCCACAGACCCTGTAATAACTGGCACCAAACCCCAAAGGGATCCAGTGTCCCGCTGAATACAACTTCTGAGTGATTATTATTAATTATTATCATTATTATTATTATGAGTAGCATCAGTGTGTGATGCAACAAAAGTTGAAAGTACGGAGGTAGAAATACTCACTCACCCAAGAAAGGGTGTTGTTTGGTCTTTAGAGTGTGAACTGTCTCCTCCCCAAGATGAGATGAGAGGAGCAGGAGGAAGACCCTGGGTGAGCTTCTCCCTTGGAGTACAGCAACTAAGCAGCTCCCAGGGGCCTAGTATTTCCTGGGGATGGTGGTCATAAATTCAGGCAGATAAGAGGAAAGTGGTGGCAAATGTGGTGAGCAGCAAGGCCTCCCCAGATCCCCTTCCCACTGCAAGGGGCGTGGGACAGACACACAGAGAAAACCACACACACACACACACACACACACACACACACACACACACACACACATACAGCTACCTCCTGGAATAGATACGTCAGAGGAAGGATGGATTTTGAGCAATGATCACTAACCACAGCCCAAAAGCAGTGAGTGAAGGTCCAAAGCCCCCATCCCAGCCTGATCACCCTCTTTCCTCCACTCTTCTTCACAACTGATGAGAATCAGAATGGAGACAAAAGAAAAAAGCAGGTGGTGTATTTAACCAGCCCCTTGGATATCAGAATAGGGAAGACTAGGGAGAAGGGAGCATGGGGGACATGGACCCACCTCCCTCACCACACACTCCTGGTCTCTCTCCAAGCAGTCTTTACCCATGGGGTGCAGAAGGACTCACTGGCCTTCAGTCTTATGACCAGTTACCTCTTCTCAATACAGCCTGATCAGATCCTGGTTAAGAGGTCAGAGGCCAAGAGGGCTGGAAACCCTCAACCCAAGGTCAGGGCTCCTGCCCTTCACCCCCTCAATTCTGAGAGGCCACAGCCAGGGTGTTGACATAGCCATGAGGCCCCCCCTCATTTTCCAAGTGGCCCCGTTGGGAGCCTCCCTGAGGTGGTGGTGGTGGAGGAGGTGGTGGGGCAGATGGAGGAGCACCGTAGCTGCTTCTGGCCCGACTTGGGGAAGCCCAACTCCCCCGGTCCCAGCAGCCCTCCAGGGCCTCCAGCCCACGGCAGCCAAGAAAGAAAAGGTTCTTGAGCATGAAGATGGACAGCGGCTGCTGGTAGCTCACCACCAGGAGGCAGCGCAGCGCCAGCAAGGGCACATCCACCAGGCAACCTCCCAGCAAGCGCAGAAGGCGGCTGCAGCTTCCGGGCCCGGGGGCCTGGCCCCAGGATGGAGCCGCTACCGCGGAGGTGTTGAGCTCATACAACCAGAGCACCGGGGACGCAAGCGTGAGGAAGTAGACAGCGATAAGCAGGTAGCGCAGGTGAGCGGGAAGCGGCACGCGGCCGTCCAGCATCAGCTCCACTAGCGTGAAGCTGTCGAGCAGGTCCAGACACGTGCCCAGGAAGCAGCCCGCGGCGCGGTGCTGCTGCGGCTGCAGGAGCAGGGGGCCGGCCGAGCCCGGGGGCGCTCCCGCCTCGCTAATGGCACGCACCAGGCTGTAGAGCAGCGGCACCGACAGCGCCATGGTGAGGCGGAAGCCCGTGGTGCCAAAGGGCGCGCGCAGCTCGATGAGGTCCAGGATGGAGGTGCCCAGGATGAGCACAACCTTGGGCGTGAAGGCGATGGAATAGATAAGCCAGGCCAGGTAGGCAAAGGCGAACTCGCCCGCTGCCCCGGTCGCCCCAGAGCCGCCCCCCAGGCCGCTGGAGCCTCCTCGGCCGCTGCGGGTCTTGGCCGCGGCGCCAGAGGACGAGGCAGCCGGCAGGTGCAGAGGCGGCGCCGGGTGGTGATGGAGCTGGTGGTGGTTGTGTGCGCTGCCCACCGAGCCACCCCGACGGCCCCGGCTGTTCTTGGCAAAAAAGATGGCCCAGCCCACCACCACCACCAGGTCGGTGGCGATCCAGGAGCACCAGTACAGGTCAGTGACCGCGATGAGGTACAGGTCCAGCAGACCGCCCTGCGCCAGTAGCAGCACCACAGACAGCGCCTGGTAGCCCCAGCTGCACCCGGGACTAGGCGCGCAGCCACGGCGCCGACCCCTGCGGCCCGGCCCTGCCGGGCGGCCGCAACAACAACAGCACGAGCAGCAGGAGGCGCCGCTACCGGGGCCCGTGCCGCCCGCGCCCGCCGCCGAGCGGCTCCCGGCGCCCCCGACGGGCCCGGCCCCGGCACCCACGCTGAAGTCCCCGGCGGTCATGCTGCAAGAGGAGGTGGGAGTGGAGGTGGAGGAGGTGGCGGCGGAGGAGAAGGTGGCGGGCGTGGGGTCGGCGGCGGCGGCTCCCCCGTGAGCCGGGGGCCCCGGGAGCGCGGCGGGAACCAGGGGCTTGCTGATGCTGATGCTCTCGTCGTCGTCCTCGCGCTCGGCGCCGGTGCTGCTGCTAGCCGAGCCGCCGCCTCCGCCTCGTCTGCCGCCGCCTCCTCCGCGGCTGGTGCTGGTGCTGGTGCTGCTGTCGCCCGAGCCTCTCCGGCCGCGGGAGGAGCCCCCCCGGAGGAAGAGGGGCTGCAGCCGGGCGGCGGCGGGAGGCGGCGGGAAGGAGGCGGACGAGAGCGAGCGAGGGTGGCCCAGCACCGGGTGCATTGTCCTCGTAGGGGCTGCCCGGCCTCTCTCTCCCCGCCAACCTCGGACTGCCGAGGCGGCGGAGGGGAACCGGGGCCAGCCGGCGCCGCCGCCGCCGCCTCCTCCCCAGCTGCTGGAATTCGCACCCGCGTCGGGCAGCAGGGAGATCTGGACCGGAGCGGCCGGACTGGGCGAGTGGAGCCGCGGGTGGCTGAGTGCGGTTGGGGGGGGCGTAGGCAGGGAGCCCGGCGGCCGCGAGGACCAGAGAGGCGGGGGCGGAGGCGGAGAGCCAGCCCAGCAGGCAGAAGAGGGAGCTGGCGGCGGGGAAACCTGGACTGGATTCAAGGGGGAGAGGAGGCGAGAACAGAGGAGGAGAAAGCCTGGCTGGCTGGATCAGCGGGAAGGAAAGGAGGGCGAGCCGAGACGCCACAGTGGGTGCTGCGGCGCAGTGGGCCAGGTGAGGAGTGCGTGGGAGCGAGCGCTGGTGTCCTGAAGTCGCTTACTCCAGCCAAAGGCTAAGCTGCTGGGTGACCTTGGTCTCAGGGCCTCCAAGCATCAAGCTCAGTTGCCAGTTTCAGGTTTCCGGCCCCCTGGTCACCCCAGTTGCTACCGAAGGAGGCGCTGGGAGGCTTTCCCCTGTGTGGACCACCAGCGCCTCTTACACTGGGCCATTCTGCGACGCCTCTCCCTAAAGCCCTGAAGAACTCAATGGAAGTGATTTAAAAAGTAAAATAAGCCGGGTGTGGTGGCACACACATGCAGTGTTTAATCCCAGCACTCGAGAGGCAGAGGTAGGCAGAACTCTGTGAGTCCAGCCTGGTCAACATAAGAGTTCTAGGCCAGCTGGGGCCACAGGGAGACCCTGTCTCACAAACAAAACAAAATACAAAACAGAAAGAGCCAGGAGACTAGGGGTATATCTCAGTTGGTAGAGTAACCTTACCTTGCATACATTAGGCCCTAAATTCAACCCCCAGCACCAATCCAAAACAAAGACAAAACACCAACCAGATTTGCAACCCACGAACAAGAAGTCCTATATATTCAAACATCCAGGAATGTATCCTCCAGGGAGGTCACCCTGAATATAACTGCTTGGGAAGAGAGAATTAGGAAAAGGGTGGCTGGGGTGCTGCTCAAGAGACCAAAGCAGACAGTATTCTCAAAGATTTTTTGTCTTTTTGAGATAGGGTCTCCCTGTAGCCCCAGCTGGCCTGGAACTATATAGATGAGGCTGGCCTTAGAACTCAAAGATCTGCCTGCCTCTGCCTCTCAAGTGCTGGGATTAAAGGCATGTGCCACCATACCTGGCTAGTATTCTCAAAGATTTTTCTCTAACATGTATGACCTGTTTTCATCCCCCAAACCCCATAAAACCAGGCATGGTGGCCCACACCTGTAATCTCAGCACCCAGGAAGTAGAGCAGGAGGACGAGGAAGTCAGGGTCATCCTTGACTACATAGCAAGTCTGAGGCTAGCCTGGACTACATGAGACAAAGTAAAAACAAAAGATTTTAAAGCAGGAGTTGAAAGAATAGAGAAATATGTCTAGCAAAGGAAAAAAAGTAAGTCTTTTACAGGTATGGACACCCAGATACAAAAGCTCCAGCTGAGCCCAGTGTCACAGGCCAGCTGCTCAATAATCTCAGATACTCAGGAAATTGAGACAGGAGGATTGAAAAGTCAAGGCCACTGGCCAATTTAGTGAGACTGTCTCAAAAACAGAAAGTAAAAGGACTAAGGTGGTAACTCTGTAGTATAGCACCTGGCTTGCATGGGTGGCATCCCTAGGTTCAATCCTCAGTAGTACTCCATGGACTGAGTCTACACAGGGGTTGGCAACCCAGGCAGCTTTGGAAGGTGGAAGTGGAAGTGCCGCTTTTAGGGGTGTAGGGGAGAAAAAACGACTACAGCATTTGGGGCTCAAGAAGGTTTTAGGGCTCCTATATAATTCTGTTCCCAGCCCATGGAAACAAGTTAGGAAGCTTGCCTGTGCCTACCTCCTCCACATCCTGAAGGCTGCATGTCCCCTTTCCTGATTTCACTGTCTGAAGGCTGCTCTCACTTGGCTTGTCTCCTGGGGCAGCACTGCAGGAAGGTGATGCAGTGGGACCTCGCACCATCTGCCCTAGGCTTGCCCTTTAATCTGCATCTTTTTTAAAACTTTATTTTTACGTTTTTTAATTATGTGTATGTCTGTGTGTGTGCACATGAGTGCAGGTACCCACAGAGGCCAGATTCCCTAGAGCTGGAGTCAGGTGGTTGTGAACTGCCCAACATGGGTGCTAGAAACCAAACTCAGGTCCTCTGCAAGAGCAGTACCTGCTCTTAACCACTGAGCCATCTCTCCCGTCAATCTGCCTCTTAAAGAAGAATCTGTCTCAGCCAAACCTGATTTCTCTAGCCTCTTGGAGGTCAGTCTGTACAACAAATCCATGGTACCTATGGAATTCAGAATTTGTAATTTGTACTGTTTTCCTTCCCCTCACCCTGGAAAAGACAGCCTTTGAAAGGTTCTATGCCCAATTTTCAAGAAGACAGAGGTGTAGGGTGACAACATGAGCTCAGGAACCCATGCCCCCAGCTCCAGCATGTAGCCTTGGGGGCTCAGCCCAGCTATCCCACCTCTCTGAGCTTCACATCGATCTATAAAAAGGGATCAGTGCCCCCTTTAATGGCATGTTGTACTGAGAGATCACATGTGCAAGCATTTTAGCCCAGTGCCAACAGAGAATAGACTGAGTTAAAGAAGCTGGTATTTTCTGTTCAGTTTGTACCTTGGATTCCCCAGGGCAGTTATTCACAGCATAGGCCATCAGTGGCTGTCTTCTGAGCCAGATTCCTTCTCAAGGGTTAGGGTTAGGGTTAGGGTCAGAGGTCTGCTCCCCTAAAACTTTACCCTTCAGGCAGCAAACTGCTACTGTTAAGAACTGGTTCGTGGAACTGGTCTTCACAATCTTGGATATGAGACGTTCAGCATGCCAGCTGGGGCTAAGGCCACCCACATGGAGCAGGATGAGTAAGAACAGTTTCACAGATGCAGCCTCCACTTGTGTGTGTCCTGTTAGGTCCAGTAGATGTCTGGGCTGAGCCAGTCCAGGTGAAAACATGGATTGGGGAGATTTGTCCAGTACAAGGATTATAGCCAGTCTCCTAGTCTCCCCCAGGGAAAAAGCCAGCCAGCAGGGAACACAGAGGAAGCTGACCTGAGATGCCTTAAGTCAGTGAAGTGGCTGAAGAGGCAAAAGCAGCTGACAAAGGCCCTGGGACTCCTGGGAGCCCTGAAGAATCCTGCTCCCCCTCCTTGGTGTCCTGTCCTCAGACCCACCTATTAGGCTGGGCACTCCCCTTGACCAGGAGTTACTTGATTTTACAGTCCTTTGAAGTATACTGTCTGTCTGCAGAGTTAACTTTCTGTAAGAAGTTCTTTAGTTTAATTTCCTTTAGGCCCTAGATCCCGAGTAACAAGAATATCAGTAATCAGGATATGAAATCAGGGTATGCGATGGAATAAATTGGTGACCAGAGTATAGGTTGTATCTATCTCCTATTTAGACTAGGCAATTTCCAGCTTTTTGTACACACACACACACACACACACACACACACACACACACACACTTTGCTTCAGCCTTGGAAGGGCTTACAAAGTTGTAATGAGGATGTGGAAGTGATTCGAAATAAAGGGGCTAGGGGTGGGGCTGGAGACATGGTTCAGCAGTTAAGGGCACTGGCTGCTCTTGCAGAGGACCCGGGTTCAAATCCCAGTACCCACATGGCAGCTAACAACTTTCTTTAAACTCCATTTCCAGGGGATCCGATGCTCTCTTTTGACCTCTTCAGGCATTGCACAACATGGGTGCACTTACACACACGCAGGCAATACACTCATATATATATAATTTAAAAATAATAAGTAAAATATCTTTTTTAAAAGGGGCTAGGGAAGCCGGGCATGGTGGTACATGCCTTTAGTGCTGGCAGTCAGGAGGCAGATGCAGGCTGATATCTGTGAGTTTCAGACGAGGCTGGTGTACATAGCAAGTTCCAGGTCAGCTGGGACTACAGAGAGACCTTATCTCAAAAAGACTAAGAAAAAAAGGGGGGCAGGCTAGGGAAATGGCTCAGTGGGTAAAATACTTGCTGCAGGACTGGAGCCTGCATCTCCAGCACCCATAGAAATGACGGTTAGGAGTGGTGACCTGCCTGTAATCCCAGCACTTGGGAGGCTGAGACAGGATCTCTGAACAAACTGGCTGGCTAGACCAGCTGAATCAGAGATCTCTGGGTTCAAGTGAGAGACCCTCTTCAATATGTAAAGTGGAAAGTGGAGGCCAGAGGTTAATGCTGGATGTCTTCTTTAACCACTTTCTATTTTGTATATTGAGGCAGGGTCTTTCATTTGAACTCAGGGCTCTCCAATTCAGCTTGTCTGAATCTCCAGGGATCCCCTGACTCCTAAGTGCTGCAATGGCAGGCAGGCGGGCCCACACATTCACAAATGTGCACATAACACACATATACATAGAGGAAGTAAGTACACATCTCAAAGGATCTAGAAAGGGAAATAAACAGTTACAGAGCACCTTATAAGCACTTAGGGTTTCTTCTGGATGCCTTGCATATAATACCTGGAAACCAAGACAGAGATCAAGCAACTTAATCTAAGTCATGTGGCTAGTTGAGGAATAAATTCAGATTAGATCTAGACGCTTGATGCTCAGCCTGGCTACCAACTCTCCTCACAAACCCAACTCAGCAGCTCACAGGCACTGGGAGGAAGGTTTCAGTCCAAAACTGTTTCCCAAAATGCTCATTACGTACTGGATCTGATGTTTCTGTCCTCCTGATCTATGAAGCCAATAGCTCACAGCCTTCCTGCAGAGCAAGATATAGACCAGAATGGTGAAGTGGCCTTGTCCATCTCAGCAGTGAAGGAAGGCTCATGGGGTGGGGCCAGTCCTCTAGGACTGACCGTGGCCCTGCTCTTGACTGATCTGTTGCTGAGAATCACTGCCTCACCTTTAGAGCAAGAATAAAGCCTGGGTTCAAAGGGAACTACCTGTCAGAGGATGAATGGAGCCCACAGAGGCTCCTGTGTGAACATAAGATGAGAAAAGACAAGGGCGTCCCCTGGTTCTCAGTCACAATCACCATACACAGTGCTCA